TTTCCTTTTCGACATTTTTCCTTTCGACATTTTTACTTTTCGACATTTTTCCTTTCGACATTTTTCCTTTCGACATTTTTTTTTTCGACATTAATCAGGCATACCATTATTCTCAGTTCTTCATGATAATTCGAGTTATTGTAATCCATTCGAAGCAAAATACATATGAATTCATTATTTGACATTTTGAATACAAATAGAAATTATAATATGTATATACGTAGTAGAACTTGTCAAGTTCAAAATTTTCGAACTCGAACCCGCTGGGTTCTAATCTTTATTCGAAATCATCTTGAATTCTGTTACAAAGAAATCGATTTCCATGATTATTATCGAGAAATGAAGAACTATTTTTAATCTTCACAATTCTTTATTGACTGATCTGCTTTCAAAACAAAAAATCATCTTGTTCAAAATAAAAATTAGATGACGATTAAAATTCTTGTTTTTCTTTGTTTTAGAATTTAAAAGATCAAAAAACACGTCGAGATAATTTTTCACGTAATACAGTTGCATCATCTTTAACTTCTGCTCCATCAGCTATCAACGGTAAATTTGACCAATAACAACATATTCTTCTTATTTTCATATTCTCTTTCACATAGGTCGTCCATCCGTACTTTTTCGTGATGAACATCGAACAACTAATGGAGGTGATGCTGTTATTAATATGGGTTCAGATGGAATGTATAATCCTTCCATGAGACAACAATTACAAGTTATTGATGAAACGGTATGATTTTATTTTTAATACATAAACAAAAGAATAATAATTTAACATAAAAATATAGGATACATATTTGGCAAATCGTTCGGAAGCTATGCAAAATATAGAACAAACAATAGTTGAACTTGGCGATATTTTTACTCAATTAGCTACAATGGTACGACAACAAGAAGAACTTGTTCATAGGTAAATAGATGAGAAAAAAACAAAAGAACAACATGTATATAATAGAAATTCGAAAATTTTTCTTTATTATTTAGAATTGATGCTAATGTTGATGAAGCAACACAACATATTGAAGGTGCACATACAGAATTACTTAAATATCTTCGTTCAGTAACATCGAATCGATGGCTTATTTTTAAAGTTTTTGCTGTGTTGATTATATTTTTTCTTATCTTTATCGTTTTTCTTGCTTGAAAAAATTATAATTGAGAAAACAAATAATGTTTACACACACATATATATATATATATTTATTGGTTAATGTTTACTGTTGTATTGAAAGAAAAATCATACAAGCAAAAACTAAATATACTTTGTCATTATTTTTGTTTTTCTTTTTTTCTCCTATTTATCAATATTATACACATATTCCTACGAGGGATTGAATAAAATAATCAAAACAAAAACATGTTGCTTTTTTGCGTTTTTAATTTGGCCATAACATGTAATATAAATATCGAGAAAAAAAAACGAGCTATTTGGCATTACAAGTAATTTCACGGACACTTACTCATGAAGTATAGAGTAGAAAGAATACCTAATTGAAAACAAAAATAAACATTATTAAATTATATTATAAAAGATTAAACAGAAAAATACAGTAGAACTGAGTAATAGTGGCTTGAAGTTGATAATCTTCTATTCATCCACACTCAAATCATTCCACTGATATTATGGATTAACAATATGATTTTCATGTTCAGCGATTGTTTTAATAAATTCAAAGTTTTATTTTGTACTTGATCGTTCATGACGAGTATGCTTTCTAGAGTAACATTCGCATCTTCAAAGAAGATTAGCAATGTTCAAAAATAGTCGAATTCCAACTTGAGAGAACCTGAAGATACTTCTAACATTATTCATATGCCTCAATACGTGCTTGAAGTATTATCTAAATACTCGACAATGTCTGAATTGGTAGAATACTTCTTCAATCCGAATACTAAACCAGAATTCTAGTTCAGTGCTTGCTAATAGGTTGCTGGAAATAGGTAAGATCTACAATGATTTATTCTCTTCTTTCTTTAAATCTTGAATTGTGACTATATCATTGAATTTTAATTCTGGCATAGAACATGTTATAAAAAGTCCATTCATTGTTGCCTTTTCTACGTAAAGAAAACTTTTAATATTCGAATTTTTGCATTGTATTAATTTTCTTATCAATTAAAATATGTTTCATATTCATTAACAACTATCTTCATATTACATTGTAAGTAATTCATTATACATTGTCAATTAACTATTTTCACTAATTTATAACGCACGAATAACCCATTAGTTGAAGTGTTCATGTCAAGAACTGAAGATAAAAAACTGAAACATCATGACGCAAGAACATTGAAATTCACGTAGCATCCACTATAGATACACAAAGTACTAGATCAAAAGTCTACTAATAACAACCTATGCAAACAATACCTGTATAAATCAATTGGCCTTCCGAAAATAGAACGAATTCAGAATTTTAAAAAATACATTGACACGATCGTTGTAAGCAGTAAACCGAGTATCGATTTTTAACTGTCAGATTAGATTCTTCGAACGAATCAAGCATTGGGAGATAACAGAGCAATGTAGTTCGCATAGAGCCTTAAATCTTTCAGCATAGGATTAAGCTTTTCTGTGTATAAAAGAATTAAAATGCTAAATATATTAGGGTGTGGGTGTATGATTCTTCTATTTATCTACATCCACAAACCCACACCCACACCCTCACCTATATGGGAAACATAATTATGCAGGAAGTGGTTCCGACGTTGTCAATGGGCTCATTGACCCACAATTAGAACTCTATCTTCGGATTACAGATATATTACTTCGAGGTTTTCTGTTGCGGAGAACTCGAATCTGTACTCCATTTGCCTCGAAACCCCATTGGTTGAGCAGTAACCAATAAAAATCAAGTTATGAGAAAAATGGTTTTGCCTAGGGTAAATGAAGGAGGAGAGTTCAAATATGAGCTGTATTCGACCACAAATCCTTTCGGATGAGCGACAGTCAATAGAAATTGTGTTTATAGAAAAGTTTTCTCATAAATTTTGGTGTCCAGACATTCTAAAATGACTCATCTGTCTCATGCACTTTTTGTAGTACACATAACTCTTGGATAAAATCCGAGGTTTCCACATTTATTTATAATGGAGGTAAATGATATACCTAGTATAAAAACTTGAAAAGATTATTTACACAACGGAAAAGTCTCTCTCTATTTGTTTTGATAATTAATCTTTGTAGAACTTTTTCTATCATCGTATTCTACTGCGAATTTAATTTCAATCTTTATAATATATACACATGCATATACCTGTAAATATAATGTATTTCTTTTCTACATTTTTCTAAGTTTTAGATAGATTAATTTTATAAGAGAAGCATCAAATAAATCGCTGTATGAGATAAACAAGATCATGTCAGAATAGATTTAATTAAAATTTTAGAAAACTCTATTTTTGTTTTGTCTTGAATCCACAATTCGATTACATACAGTAATGAATGAATGATGGAGAACATGAGAAGGAGTTGTTTAGTATATAAGAAAGCCAATCCAATCCAAGCTTTACCTATTATGTAACTAGAGGTATCTCTTTTTATTATTGTTTTTTTTTTCAATAAATCTCTTAATCTTATATCTAAAAATCAGGGATGTGGCGACCACGGGGTGCAGGGGGGTGCGCACCCCCGCCCCCCCCCCCTTTTACGAAACTATCGCTTTTTCCCCCGAAA